TACAAGACGAGGATGCCCACTCTCGCCATTCCTCTTTGTCTTGACTTAAGCCACTTCTCTGGACAATCGACGCAAACTAGACATGTGCGATTCGATTTTCGGACATTTGGATGTATCCGAATTACAGACATAACGAATGCAAACGAATCCGAATTTCCATTTCCGAAATTCGGTAGCGGTAGTTCGAACGTTCGTTTCCTTTTCGGTTCTTATTCGTTTCTTATTCGTTTCGTTCATTGGAGCAAAGTGACATTAGAGAAGGAGAAAAATATTTTTTCCCCCTCAAATGTCACAAACGAATAAGAAACAAATAAGAACCGAAAAGGAAACGAACGTTCGAACTACCGCTACCGAATTTCGTCTGAATCCGAATTGACTTTCACACCCGAATCCCGAAAAACGAAATAACACAAATCCGAATTTAAAACGAAATGAAACAAATTTTTTGGCAGTGCACATGTCTAGCGCAAACCCTAATATCCATGGTGTCCATGTAGGTTCTAGTAAATACAAACTGTCTGCTTATGCAGATGATGTATAGTTTTTGATCCAATTATCTCTTTGCCTAACATAATGCAAGAGTTGGCGGATTTTGGCCGACTGTCTAACTTCAAAATAGTTAGTGCTTTTGCACATAACCTACGCCAGTCTGTTTAGTTTACGTGAAAGGTTGACTTGCTGAAGAACCTAGGTATACATCCGACTGGCCATTGTAATCGTGTATATATTCGCAAAAGTTCAACCACTGCTTCTCTCCATCAAGGTAGATATCTGTTGGGACAGGTTGGCCTTTACCTGATTAGGTAGAATAAATATACTGAAGGTGGCCATCTTACCCAGGCTTCTGTTCCATTTGCAGGTTATCCCAGTGGATATACCCAGGTGCTTCTTTCACAAGGTCAAGTGTCTTCTTGAGCTTTGTCTGGAGTAATAGAAAGCCTTGTTTAGCTTGCTTGGTACTCAGTAAACCTCAGGATTCTGGAGGCCTAGGGCTAACTGACAGCTTTCTTTACTACAAAGCAATAGCACTCCAGTGGATTCTCAATTAGTAACGCCACGTCTGCCCTAAACTATGGGTTCTTTTGGAGAAGAGCATTGCTTCTGTTGAATGTACATGGTTTATCTGGGATATCCTCCCCTGTGACTTTACATTCCTTTGTGATTTGGGATGTGCTTATCTGTACACAGTCTGGTTTCCACAATGTCTCCTCTGTCCCCTGTTGGAGGATTTTTGTGGTTTCCATCTGTGGAGCAGCTTACATTTTTTAGGTCATGGGCCTCCCATGGGGATGTAAGGTTGGTCTAAGTTTCTTAGGGGTGGACAATTGGCCCCCTTGGGTGACCTGCAGGAATGTTTTGGGAGCTTTCCTATGGATGCTTGGAGGAATGGTCAATTGCTTCATTTTTATTACTCTCATATGGAGATGGTGTGTCCTTTGAATTCTCTTACATTCTTTTAGAAATTGTGTATGGATGTACACCCCTAATTAAACTAATATCTTTGCTTTACTTTTAGCCACACCCGCACGTAAGCTTCAATATATCAGGGAATGGGAATGGAACTTGGGAACTGAATTCTCTGACCCTCAAATTAAGCAAATGTTTACATTGAGCAATGGCTCCTGTATAGATTCCAAGTCACAAGAAACATGTTACAAGCCTCTCTCTTGTTGGCTTAGGGTCCCCTCTCATCTAGCAAAAATGTATCCACCTTTATTCCCTTTTTGTTGGACAGGTTGTGGTAGAAAAGGAAACCTCTTACTTATATGTTGGGAATGCCCAAGCATATGACACTTTTGGCCAGACGTTAGATTACAGATTCAGAGGATTTTAGATACTGAGTTACTAGACAAACCAGGACCTTTTTTACTACATTGAGTTACTTTGCCAACCTTGCAATACAAACAATACGCCCTTCACTTTCTGAACGCTGCCAAGTGACTGAGTGTTCTTTTTTTTGGAAGTTTACAGCAGTTCCTACATGTCTGATTTGGATTACCAAGGTTAATGAGATTGAGATGAGGTGGAACATTGAGTGGCCACTGGCAAAGATCATTATGATACATTTTAATCTATATGATCCACCTGTATTGACTATATCTATGAGCTTGATATTAGTTTGGTCTCCTTTTTCCTGTGTTCCTCTGGGTTATACTATGGGTATTACGCCTGTTTTTTACTGGATACTTACCTCTGTATTTGCACTAAATCTCCATTAGGCCAACTATTCGCATCTGGTATTACTACTGTTCTATTTTTGGTTTATTCTTGACCAGTTAGTATTAGTTCTCTTTTCTGCTTGTTCTGTTCTACTCCTTATCTTGCTTCTACTTCTCATCTTCTTTTCCCCTCCTTCTGTGGTCTCTGTTTAATTTCCTCTTCATTCTGTCTGGTGATTTCTGTTCTTTGCTACCTTGTGACTGCAAGCTAGATTGACTACTAAGGGCTATAGTGATTTGACAATGATGCTAATACTCTATTACTTTTGATTGTTCTACCTCTTACCTTTTGTCATTTGCAATGGTGGTCGACTTGGTGATGTAGCTTGTACCGGTTATTATTCCCTTTCTCATGCTTGCATGTGTTTCTTGTTGGAATAAATAAAGATTATATATAAAAAAGGAATCTTTACTTTAAAGGCTGTGCAGTGCAGCTTTCTGACCATGTTTCATGTCACACCCATATTCGTCGATGTTAAGCCTGATGAAGGGACCCTGCATGTTCCCGAGAGCGCTTGTTTCCAATTGACAATTGTTCAATAAAAGAATATTTTGGTGATCCTGAAAGGATTTTCGCTGTGCTGGTAACATTCTTCTCAACAAAACCAAAACAAAATGTGATTAGCGGCGCCATCCGCAGTCATTTCTAGTGCCCTTACCTATCATTGGGATTTTTTGGTAAGGAGTGTGACAAGATCCTCTAACATTCAACATGGTCACATCGGGAACCCTTCAGCCTCCCCCACTTACTTGAAATGCAGGATTCTTCTCTACAGGCCACTTCTGTATTTTGAATTTTATATATCTGTGTGTGGCTCTGCCCACACATCCACATCATCCATTCACAGATCCTTTGACAGGGTAAGGGTAATTGTCAGTGAGGTCTGCAGATTAGTATCCTTGCAGTGTACTGATATCTGCTTCCATCTTTTTCCTTGTGGATTATGCGTGATCACCCATCACTGCCCCCTCATCCATACTAGGAGGAGATGGCCTTCGGTAACTGCAAGGAAATCCATGCACTAATCGGACACAGGCTCCCACCACCATCCAGCACCCCCCAAACCCCCAATTCCCCCTGACCTTCCCACAAGCACAACTGATTGTTCATAATCCCCACCAGTGGAGGTTCCCCTTCCATTCACCCCTCATCGATGATATCGCTTCAGCTATTACTTTTTGGTAAGTTTTTCAAATTTTGCATAAATCCAATTCCTTATGGTAGTAGCGCTTCTATCATTCTCAAGCAACAACACAGTGCACACCAGCTGCACCTCACCCCCCTCAGTCCCAACATCATCCAACAGCCCATGTCCACCCGTGCCTGTCACCCCCCTCCCATGCACTAATCGGACACAGGCTCCCACCACCATCCAGCACCCCCCAAACCCCCAATTCCCCCTGGCCTTCCCACAAGCACAACTGATTGTTCATAATCCCCAGCAGTGGAGGTTCCCCTTCCATTCACCCCTCGTCGATGATATGGCTTCAGCTATTACTTTTTGGTAAGTTTTTTAAATTTTGCATAAATCCAATTCCTTATGGTAGTAGCGCTTCTATCCCCATTTTTTGTTCTTGACAAACGTCGGACACGCCGATCCGCATTCATAGAAGCTGCACACCTAGCACGAAAAAAACCCATACCCAATCACCCTCACCCTTGTGGTAGCGCTGTATCAGGGGACTGCAATCCCAATTTTACGGTAACTGCAGTGTGACCGCTCCACAGCAATCAATGAAAGCAAATAACTTTATTGGTCTTAAAGTGTATTTCTACTTTTGCAGCCAGATTGCCATAACACCTATTTTATATTTGTTACATGTTTTTTTTCACATTGCATCACTTTTTTTTTTTTCAATTGCTGCTTGCAGAATACATGATCTGAAAGAAAATGTGTTCTGTACTGAGTTTTGCTCTGGAATGCAAGGGGGGCCTGGGCAGGTTAATGGTAACATAATTAACCCTATCTGTACTGTGCTGGCAGATGTTAATATCAGTTGTAAATTAGATTTGAGCACTGTCTGAATTAACAAAAGGTTAAAGATCTAGAAGCATTGTATGTTAATGAGAGGAAGTTCAGCCTGTTCCTGGTCTTTTTATGGGGACAGACAGCGTTTCCTTTTACCTGGAAAATGAGAGATAAGCTTGCAAAGGACTGCTGCACAGAGACATTTAAAAGGTAAGAAATCTTGTTTTTAATTATTTTAAGTATACTGTGGGTTTTCCCAATTTTGGTTGTAAAAGTGGAAATACACTTTAAAATGTATGTGAACAGTGAACGTATCTTATTTGCTCCCTTATGGTATGTTATGGTATGTTTTAGTTTCCACTAGATGGAACTTAAAATCATACGAAAAAAAACATCTTAGTAATGAGATACAATTCAAGACAACACTATAGAGAAGGATCATATAAATGTAACCATTGCTTTCCCTGTAGTATAGGTGATACTACAGGGAAAGCAATGGTTACATTTATATGCTCGTTCCCCCAACGGTCTCTAGAATTTTAGCATTGTATCTTGTTACTAACATGTATTTATTTCCAGTCATCCTCCTCTCCAGTTAGAGTCTATACTGCCGTATTTGCCCCATATACTGTGTTCTAAAGAAAATTAACCCGAAGGGAAGTTACATTAATTTTGCCCCATTCTCAGAATAGCTCTTTAATTCACAGCTATTGTAAATAAACCCCATAAACAACATTTACCAACTGTCTATTTTGTTGATTAAATAATAGTACAGAGTACATGGATTAATAAACTCCCTTTTGCCTTATAGAATAACAGAATGGCATCAAGAACAGTGGGCAAGTCTTTAGCGGCCTGTCTGCTGAACATTTCAGAGGCCAGAAATAAAGAAGTTGTTGAGAGAATTGCAAGGGCCGCTTTATTTGACAGCCATGGTGAGTATACAGTATTTCACGGTCACACAAGTATTAGTGGCATTGTCACTCTGGCGAGCGTAGTTTTAGATGCACTAGCAAATTTAGATGGACTTGATTAATGAATTATATCCAAACTCCATCCCACACTTTTTAAGCAGTAACAGCAACAGTTTTTGTTTTCCTTTTGGGATAAAGTTTGTATAAAAATGAATAAAAACATCTGACCTTTGTAAGGACCCCTGTCAAAGGTGTGAACAGACTCCATTGAATTTGATGTGAATCTATGTTTTGTGCAATATTGCGCGACAAATCGCCTTGGTGTGAAACTAGCCTCAGTGTTAAACGGTTTGTCTCAACCCTCTATCTGCCACTTTTGCTGGAAAGCTTGGCCTGGTAAAGAAAGTTGAAAAATAACAGACTTACTGGTCAGTTCACCAGTGGAAAATAAAGGGAAAAAGGAAACTAATGCAGTCACCACATCTAAGAGTTGGTAAACTGCAATGTATTACATTTTTGCTTTTTGGTTTAGATATGGGGATAATGGCCTCAAGCCCTCCATTAAGATTTCACTTCTATGAACGATTACTGAGAATTCATGCAGTCACTGTCTTTGCAGACAGGGTTTTGAGAACCAGAGTTTCCACTATTACAGGTAAGAAATAATGTACTGCCTTTAGAACTATATGTGGGCCCTATCTACAAAGGAATAACTGTACAGAAAGGTACTCGTACCCTTTAAATCTTGACCAACATCACGCTACCCACTATGAAAGTCTTTTTATGAACAGCTTTGTTTCCACTTTTCGTACCAAACTGAACTAGGAATAATGCCTTACTTCCTCACAAAGCGCTTTCTAAAAGCTATTGTGTTGAACTTTTGTATTGCCCATAAGTTTTTATGGGAGCCAGATTGACAGAATCATTGCCTCATCACTCACAAATTAGATCCTCTCATTTAGGACATAAAGAAACATCATAAAGAATATTTGCTGCAAAATGCCTCAGGCTCTTAATTTTTAGTTTTTACCAATTTTTTTTTAATGGTGCAAATTCCCAGTCAATAGAAACAGACTGCTTATTCTCAGAGATGGGGGCTACAAACAAACTAACATGCTAATATGAGTTGAGCATCTTTGGGGTATAAAAATCCCTGTCTTCTTTTCTATAGCTTGCCACCATGCCCCACAAGATAAAGAATTTCTTAATTCGAGTTTATTTATCTCAATACTAAAATAGCTATTTTGTGACAATGATAGTATTGTATTAAAAGTGCTGGTAAAGGTTATGTTTAGGTTTCCTGTTTAGAGAAAGTATTTGAAAGGGTGTTGTGGTGAGAGAAAGCTGCCCACTCATGTTCTAAAGCTGGCTATGCACCTGTCATGCTAAACTGCGTGGATGGGGGAATGTCCCCTGCCAGGCTGTTGTATTCAAGAGCCACTTCTTGAGCAGTTGCTGAATACCCATACAGTGTCTGCATCTGATTGAATGCAGGTGCTGTTCGGCTCAGAATTTATGGACCGGCTCCTTCAACAAAAGTCAATTGAAAAATTAACTTTTGTCAAGCAGGGGAGTGCCGACAGGGCCATCCATGGCTCAAATTTCAGCCGATCTAGCAGGAATTGTGCCAAAATTGAGAAGCGTATGGCCAATTAACATTTCTTTTATGGCAGAATCTTTCAAGCCAAACTGTACTGCATACTCTGTAGCAGACATAATACTTAAGGTGGAGGGTAGGGAAGGACAAACATTGCCTCTTTTTTCCATAATGAGGAGTTTACTGCATTTTAAAGGAAAGTCTCTCCAGGCCCATTTCATACTTAGTTAAATACAAGTCCATTACTCCATCTTCTCGTTCATATAAAGCACACTAGTGGAAATTATCAAAACTGTAGTAGGCAGAATTCTGAGCAGTTGCCCATAGTAACCAATCAGTTTCTCTTTTCTGTTTATTCAGTTAAGATTTGTACATGAAAGAGAGAAGCTGTTATGGCTGCAATGGACAACTGCTTTTGGAGTTTTTCCCCTCAAATAAATGATAGAGTGGCTGTTGAGGGTCCTGTTCATAATGGGCTTTAGTGTAGGTGATTCAATTCTTTGAAGTGCGGGTGCATTTTTCAGGAAAATAAACACACTCTAATGTTGATTTCTTGATTAAGGCCTTGTTCACACCAAGCGCGGAGCAGGTGCAGAGCAGTTGCAGACCGGATCAAAACTGCGTCCAATGTATTCCAATGGTATTTTTTGCTCCAGTTCATATCGCAGTGTGCAGGTCCAGAGCAGGTGAAAAACCTGCAGCAAGCCCTATTTTACCTGCTCTGGAACGCATGCAAACGCATCAAAACGCATGCAAATGCCTGGAACGCACTGAAAGCCCATGTTAAACGTAATTTTTTTTTTTACCAAAAACGACCCGGAACGCAGCAAAAACGCGGCACAACCCACTGCACTGCGTGTGCAGAAACCTGAGCGGATCTGCTCTGCATTTGGTGTGATTAAGGCCTAAAAGCTGGTTGATTTTTGTTTTGTTCCAAATACCGCAACAAATTTTGTTTTTTCATCTTAATAATGACACTCTACTGTTGGATTAATTTGTGGCTGGTGTCTCTCTAGTCATAATTGCTCCCCTTTAACAGTGCCTTAACACCGTGGATGGATACACTACAGTTTTATATTTCTTGCTTAAAACCTCTCTGGTTTCTCTCTCTCTCACACCATGGCCTACTAAAGCTGCTTATATGGTTTGAATTGAGTCTGTACAATTTTTATGTCACTTAACAGGGAAATGATCCCCTCAAAAAAAAGAAAAGTGAGGGACTACGGGATCATGAAAAAATACAAACAATAAAAATCCTTTAATGCACATAGTACTGTATATTAACAATCACAGTAGTCCCATAGATAAGATAAACTTCCCTGAGTGACGCATAAAATGTTACAATGTTGTAACAAAAGTGCTGGACTTCGCTCACTCCAAACTGAATCCACCCCAGCACAAGAGATATGGACAGATCCCCAGATTTTGATCTTTTAGGAACACCTGCCTTGTCTGCTGTTAAAATTTGGCTTACTTAAGTTGCTTACATAGTATGCAGCAAGTCTGCACAATTTTTGTGGCTTTTTTATTTGAAATAATACACTATAATTGGATATTCTTGAAAAACATGCCTGCTGACTCACACTGATACTGTACTCTATTGAAAGCGCTTAAATGTTGTGAATGGAGTCAGTACAATTTTCTGGCTTTTTTCTTGGCAATAAAAAATGTAACTTGAATTTACTGATTATAAACCTAAATGTTGTCTCCCTGTGATACTGTGGCCTGCTAAAGCAACTACCATTGTGTGCAAGTACCGAACAATTTTTCTGTCTCTTTTTCTCGGAAATAATACCCTCCGCTTGCTGTTTTTGTTTGACCTGGGCAAGGGTGGCCTAACGAAGAAAAAAATAAACCCAAACATCTTTTTATCTAAAAACAATTCAAAAGGATAAACAAATGCTAAACTTAAAGTAGTTTTTCAAATAAAAAACATAGCACGAAAAATTACTTTAGGTGGGCTCTAAAATGGGTGGGTCCAGACTAGTGTATGGCCATGTTGCTGCCTTTCTATCTTTTTTCAGAAACCATGGACCTCCCACTCAACTTCTGTTGCACAGAACTGAGCTGCTGGTGGCTGCACCATGGTCAATGTGAAGATCCGGCACATAGGTGTATCACATATCAGATGTTTGGCTTGACACTGCATTTTAGCCAGGAGAAATGCAGGCATAAAGTGGCTACACACTGTTGTGCTTCAGGACATCCTAAAAGCCAGATTAACTGTTGTCATACTCGACTTGGTCTGGCACAAGTAGGCGTGGCGTCAGCTATCTCTCAGCTGCCTATCCCTAAAGTGCCTCTAAATTCTCTGGTCCAGTGCGACTCCTGTCCCCCATGTATACCAGCTGCAAAACCACAGCAACATTTCATAGGTTTTTTTTTCCACAGTCTGTGGCCATTGAGAAAAAGGGGGGAGACGTGACTGTGTTGTCACTGTCACCAAGGTGCAGGACAAAGATTGGCATCACCAGCTTCAGTGTTGTGCCCTGTCCTGCATTATTTCCAGCCATCATCTTATTTGCCCAGTGTGCTGTGAAGGTGATATAATGCACCTGCCCATTTTTGCTGGATCTCATATCAGTGGTCATGTGGTTCCTGAGGCTGACAGTGTGGTCCAGTGAATTAGAGACTTTTTTTATGCTTAAGCAGTTGTAGAAAAGGCAACTGTCTAGTACTGTAGACAACTGGGATGGTTAAGGAAACCTAAGGCAAGGTTCAAGCCTATGTTTGGCCATGCTCCACGTGTCCTCATACTTGATAAAAATGTTTTACCCATGGCAGTGCGCCGATCCCCATGCTCTATGTTTGACATCCCCTTGCCTATTGGCCTTGTAATCTGTCAAAATTGAGTTA